CTTAGTAGAGAAGGTTCTTAGGGAAATAATAAGAAATCAAAGTCAGAAATGGGAAGAATAGTTTAAAAAGCTGCTATCTTTCTGTAGGCTCATTATGTCTGTACAAATTGCTGGAAAACAATACTCTAGGATATTTATTAAGGTTTTCCATTTTGTGCCTGTTTGTAAGCTTTTCTTTCTTTTTTTTTTTTTGTGAGATCAGCCCCGTGCTAACATCTGCCAATCCTCCTTTTTTTTTTTGCTGAGGAAGACTGGCCCTGGGCTAACATTCGTGCCTATCTTCCTCCACTTTATATGGGAGGCTGCCACAGCATGGCTTGCCAAGCAGTGCGTTGGTGGGCGCCCGGGATCCGAACCGGCAAACCCTGGGCCGCCGCAGTGGAGCGCACACACTTAACGGCTTGCGCCGCCGGGCCGGCCCCCTAGCTTTTTTTTTGTTAACTGAATAACCATGATAATGGTAGTCTTGAAAAGGAACAGACTTTTCTTTCTTTTTTTTTAAATCAAACTGGGATATTTGCTGTGGATTAATCAAACTGGGATATTTGCTGTGGATTTAAGGGTTTCAGAGAATTATAAACTGCCCTTTTCTTCTGAGTTAAATACACATATACGTCAATGAAAAAACCTGAAATGTGCCCTCCCCCTTAAGACATATAAATTTCATATGGATATTATATCAGCATAATTTAAGGCTTTTGTTTTATAAAATTCTCACACCACACACAAAGTGGTTGTGTACTAGTTTGAAAACTTCTAGCCTAGATCAGATTGTTTCTGCTCAGATCTCTTAGGGAAAGAATTATTATTAAACCACTTCTGAAAGTAATTACTTGATGAAATGTTTTCTGTTTTTAGAGTTTCTTAAGCTGTAGGAGGCTTTCTGGGGACAATGAAACAAATGTAGAAACTGGCAGAAGGTAGCAGTGCTATCAGGTTTATATATCCCCCTTCTAAATCTTGTACATTTGTAAATCTGCCCAGTGAGATCCAGCAAATGACATGCATCCTGCTGTCCCTTAACCTGCTGAAATTCCTGGGTACTTGTCTCCCTCATCCTCTGAGAATTATACTTGTACATTTATCTTTGAGTCAAGAAATTCTTGGCGTAACTAGCCTTAGAGCTTAATATCTAGTGGTTCTACTTGGATTCTCCATGGAAACACCTAGTTTTAGACTTAAGAATCCAGCCCTGAGCTTTCACTTCTGAGCTCAGCAACCCTCACTTCTTGTGCTTACTCGTATTAGTAGTCCTTCTAGACTCTCACTGACTGCTGTTATCAATGGCTACAATCTTTTTTTTTTTTTTTTAAAGATTTTATTTATTTTATTTTTTCCCCCCAAAGCCCCAGTGGATAGTTGTGTGTCGTAGCTGCACATCCTTCTAGTTGCTGTATGTGGGACTCGGCCTCAGGATGAACGGAGAAGTGGTGCCTCGATGCGCACCCGGGATCCGAACCCGGGCCGCCAGCATCGCAGCGCGCGCACTTAACCACCAAGTCAATGGCTACAATCTAAGTGGTGAAACTTTGGCCTTTCTGTATTGTTCCATTTTGCTCTTAGTGTCACAAGACTATTTTAGTAGAATAATCCTGTCCTCCTCCATCCTATGAAAGTTGGACAAAACAGCAACTATGTTCTTAACAATGAAAACCTAATTTTTCTTTTGTCAGGCTCAACTCAGTTTCCTTATAACCCTCTGACTATGCGGATGCTCAGCAGTACGCCACCAACACCAATTGCATGTGCCCCCTCTTCGGTGAACCAAGCAGCTCCTCACCAACAGAACAGGATCTGGGAGCGAGAGCCTGCCCCGCTGCTCTCAGCACAGTACGAGACGCTGTCGGACAGTGATGACTGAACTGCACAGAGAAGGGAATCTTGGCGGGGCCAGGGTGTGGGGGAGGTATCTCTAGTTGTTGGTGATTTTATTTTTAATTGCAGGTCGAAAATCTGCCCTCCTATGACTTGTGCCCAGAGACTTTTCAGGAGAGCCTGGACCATTGATGATGAAGAAATGATGGAAATTTATTTGAAGAGTCAAATGGGGGAGAACTGCCTTTGATACAGGCAGTTCAGTGAATTATAATAATAGTGGAGGGTTGAAATGTAGAGTTTTTAAAAAGTGGACAATTTCTGTTCTTACATCTGTTTGTAAAAAAAAAAAAAACCATAATGTCTTTAAATCACTCTTCTGTAAATAGATTACCTTTTTGCAGTGTTTCCCCTTGCTGTAGTATCTGGTGTACTTATGTTCAAATCAGCGCATCAACTTTGGGGGTAATTTTTAAAAATCTTCTCGTCTTTTTAACCCTTGCCTTCTAAACAACCTCATACAGCCCAGTTACATAATGTTGGCTGTCACGGGCATTGTACTTTTATCCAATTTTGTTTCCTCTAAATTCAGATTCCCAGTGATGTTTAAAATCTTGTGGAAATGTTTAGATTTTTAACACAGACCCTGTCATAAAATCTGTACATTAACGTATTAGGGTCAAAAGGTAGGAGAAACAAAATTCTGCCATTTTGTAAATTTCCAATGCAGGCTTTACTTTTTTTTTTTAATTAGTAGCACTGAAAAAATATTACTGCATGGGTATGTTATAGTTCAGTTTTTAAAGGCTTATTTGAGGCATACCTCACTGTTATGCACACTGGTAATTTAACCATGCCCCTAAGTATTCTTTTTCCTCCTGCATTTGATGCAGCCCAACAAAGCTTTTGTTTTGAAATAAATTTGACTACCCTGTCCATAGCTACAGCAGATTATTTGTGATGAAGGCTCTTGGCGTCTCAGATTTCAAAGGAAAAACTTACACTTTTCTTTAGTTTGATCTATATTATTGGTTGGGTTAGAAGATAACGATCTGTGTAGAATCATGTCTTTCAGATTTGCTTTGTGCTGCATATCCTGAACTCTCATGGTGACCATACGGTCCTTTCCCCTTCTCTACATGCTAGTGATTACTTACTTTGATTCCTTGTGGGCAAGAGCTTACTGTTGAATGTTTTCATTTCACTGAATCTCAAGGAGCAAATAATGTAAAAGACTAAATTTTAAACTAATTATACTACTAGAGGGTCAGTTTTATCTTTCATTAATAATTGCTCGTTGAATTTTTAGATTTTTTTTTTTCATACAACTTAAGCGCAACATTGACGCATCCTTCGTACAGATACTAAGCATATAGATACTAACAGTTTGGGGAGAATACCACTGATGACTAGAAACAGGAGAAATAGAGATCTCTCAGGATGATAAAAATGAGCACTTTTCGGACTTCTAAGTAGACCTAAACTTTTTAACAAAAGTACTCAACCCTCTAAAGAAAGCAGGTCTGTGATAACCACTGACTGCCTCCTTTGTAATGAATGTTTCATATGCGTGACCCAGACCCTCACATCACCTGTAGCATTGGTATCTAATCCCTAATATAGATGAGGACACACAGAAGTTCAGTCGTTTGCCCATCTAGTTAAATAAGCGACAAAGACAGACCATGTTTGAGGTTAAAGCCTGCGCTCCTATTACAATGCCACTCTTGTATACCTGAGGTCCTCAAAATAAACTTTAGATCAGGTTTAGTGATCCAATTCCTACTACTTGGAAAGTTGGTATCCCTTTATTATAAATATATATACATACACATAAAATTTTAACGTGAATTTAAAACAATAACTAAATGTTCTACTTAACATTTTTCTGCTGAATTTTTTTTTTAGGTACTGGTAATATTTTAGACTTCATTGATTGATAATTAATTGTCAGCTGACCCAAAAGAGAGTATGATGGTATTTTTTATGACCCCCAAGGCTCTTGAACTATTTCAAGTCAGAATCGTTTTTGAGAACACATCAGATCAGAGCCTAACTTGTCATTTTTGTAGTTCCACTTGAGGACCCTAAAGTGAGCAGCTATTAAACCACTCACCCCATCCTCATCACAATGCATGTGTGTTTTAATTCATTTACCATCACTTGGAGAAGAGATTTCAGAATGAGAGATAAAATCCAATATCATTTCTTAGTTAAGAACAATGAAAGGACAGAATTTTCACATGGCTTACCTATGGAGCAAACAGTCTGGGAGGGGTGGAAGTCCACCTCAGCATGATTGAAATGGCAAGCACGGCACTGAGAGTGACTGATGATTTGTAGAAGTTAGCTGTAAACCAAGGCATAACACTCGGCAGCCTGAGATTTCAGCATTCTGAAGCCACATCCTTATGCATGACTTTTTAGCACCCAGCACTAAATTAAGGTCTTCCTAATATTATTCACAGAAGTATTCTGCAAGCCATATTTCCAGTGCATGTTTATGACTGGAAGTTTCCTAACGCTTTAATTTTGGTATATGACTGATTCTGTTTAAAAAAATATTTATGCCCTGAAAACTCTAGTGACATAGTCCAGAAGTTTAAAGTATGCTATTTTTAACAATTCACTTTTGAATTCAGATCAATCAGTAAAGGGGTCAGTCCTTCTGCTTTGCTACACTGTATAACAACAGTGCAAATGAACTTTAATGAGAAACGCTCACATGAAGAGACTGTCTTTCTGAAAACTAGTTTTTCCAACACCAGGACCATGAGCTGAATCGTTGTGGAGGATCAAAAATTCTTAAGTAAAACCTGGAGTGAAAAATCTAACTTTTAGTAACCCCTGCAATTGTGAAAAGGTAAAAACGTTCTTAATGCAGAAGGTGAGTAGTTGACAATAATTTTTTTTAAATCACCAATAAAGACCAGGTTACACTAGAATTCAATCTAATATATATTATAGTTTTTCTGAGTTAGACTTGATTAAAGGAATTAGCTGGGCAGTAAATAATAGATGAGCTTAGACAAAGTAGGAAGAAATTTACATCTGCCAAATAGAAAATTCTAATTTTAGTCTAATCCCTGAGGATTTGGACCTCAGGGTTTCTAGTATTTTCTTTTTATTAACTCTTTAGCAAGTTGTTTTTAATGAGAAACTCAAAGATTACGGAATACATACAATATTGTTGTAGAGTCTCTAGTTTATTATGAAAGGATTCTTTCAGTACGTACATAGGAACCAAAAATAGCAGTTTATCATTCCCACTCACAGCCCCACCCCCAAAGGCATACCAACAATAACAGTGTTCCTTCATAGTACCTAGAAAAATTGCCTTTCCCCTAGGCAAATGGCACTTTGCAAGACTGCTAAGGTAAAAACATCCATGTATGTATCTTCTATTTATATACTTGATATACTTTGAAGCAGTGTGATAAAGCCCTTTGAACATAGCAGTCTATTCCTTTAAGGTCATCTGACCAAATATGTTCTCCCATGGCTAAGAGAGAATCTCATTTGTTCTCATACTTTACAGATGAGGATGCTGAGACCCACCCTCAAAAAGCCAGGGCTAGCATCCAGCTCAGTGATTCTTCTACTGTACCAGCGGTACATATTAGAATGCCCTAGGTTGCAAAGGAAGCAGAGTGCTCAGATAGATAGCACTGACAAGAAGAAATAATCATTCCTTTTCCCCGCCTTTTTCCACAATTATATATAATCAGATACATACAAAAACATACAGTTCACTTTCATTTATAATCAGGTGGGTGCTATACTTTTCAAGTGACTAATTCCCACTTTAAAACCTTATGCTGGATGCTGGTGGCAAACCAAGATATTATTTTTCCTCCTTTATGCATTAAATCCCACACTGGGGTTCATGAAATAGATTATAAGAAAAATAACTCACCATAATCCCCCTTTGCCATGAGACAGGTAGCTCTGGTCTGCCAGATATTGATAAAATCAGAGAACAGAGGGCAGCAAATCAACGGAGTAAAATCTTATGGTAGAGATGCCTGCTGAATTACCACCACTCAGCCCAGAGGGAAACTGGCCTATCTTCCTCCGTAGTTACACTTAGACCAGCGTGGCCAGCACAGCTGTTACAAGTGAAAGCATCACTTGACATCCGTCCTTAGAAGTCAAATATCAGCTGGGGATGAAAGTTGTTTTCCCTTTAAAAAACAAACGTGGCAGTGTGTATATGTGTGTGTGTGTGTATATACATACACACACACACACACACACACACACAACTTGTCCTTCAGCAAGGCTAAGCTGAGAAAACCTGAATATCAAGGACAAACTATTTAAGCCACTGATTTGGGTGCCACTGAGACTGGAATAATAGCTGTTACTGCAAATTCCCTACAACAAAAAAGGGATGTAGAGCTTGATAAAACTAAGTCAAAGGTCTACTTTTTCTTGACAGCTCAGCCAGCTCTTCCCTGATGTGCTGTATAGAAACCTCATCTCTTTTCAGTTCTGCTTGCTTCAGTGCTTCCTGGTAGATCTCTTTTGCTTGTGCATATCGTTCTAAAATAACCCGGAGAGAAGGGAGGATAAGACGAAAATGTATGTTTTCAAAGTGATTCTAAAAGAGATTCTGAAGAGAAAGCGCTACTATCGGTACAGGTCTACTGTGTGCTCATTAAGGGACAGAACTGGTGCTGCCTCATTTCATCCCCATTTGACAAGCTGGATTAGAGAGGCTGTAAGCTGGCCCAAGTGTAGAGCTCCAAACCAGTGAGTGCTGTGGGACTAACTGTGCCCTTTCCAGTACACCCCTGGGGCCCTTACTCCATTAGTCAGGGACTTCACTAATGATGGTATGTCTAAGAAAGACCTATCATTCCAGGTTTCTGAAAATTTATAGGTGAGGCCCTGAGCAGGATGGCACAGTATGTCTATCAAACTGATACTACCTGTCTTACCACCTTCAGGAGTATACTGTGAGGAACAAATTAAGTGATATGTGTGAAAACATTCAGAAATCTCTGAAGCGCTACAGAAATAAGGTACGATCATTGCAAAGTTTTCTCTACCTTGATGTGGTTCATTAGGCTAATGCAGGACTATAAAAGTTAGGTGAACTGGACACAATGCTACTTCAACCAAACATGCGTTCATTTTTGTATTATTCAGCCAGCCTTTTAATTCTGGAGCTTCCCCACTGCCCCTTGCCCTCCCTAAAGCAAGTCAGTCAAACTTCATTGCTCCCTACCTCTGTGCATCAAAATTGCAGCCAGATTACTGAGCAGCATGTGTAGCTCAGGATGTTCTGTCTGTCTCGCCAGATCTGATGCCCTTTGCACATAAACACAGGCCTCATCAAAGCGGCCCTGTGCATCCAGGGTGGTAGCCAGGTCACTCATCAGCACGATGGTCTATACAAAAGAAAAAACAGACAGCTTTTTCTTTAAAAACACCTACACAGATTTAACATTAATTTGGAGTTTGAGAAACTGTGAATATATATACTTCAGAATTCATCTTTCCTAGCATTTCACAAAAAGTGAGGGACATCGGCCTTTAACAAATTATGTGCATTTATCATTCACACTGTACAGTGGACAGCATTAGTTTGACCCTCTGGAAAATGATACAAATTACAAACTAGGGAACAGGATGAATATTACTTATTACTCTCATTATCAAATTAGAAGCACCAAATGAAAAATAACAGCCAAAAGAAGCTATAATATGATCCCATTTAAGGTTCAGCAATCTTAAGAAGCCAGCCTCTGGAGCCAATAAATTGTAATATTATGTCATTCCTATCGGTGACCCTGAGACTCACCAAGAAGAAGAAATATATCATTGGTTTTAGCAACATTCCCATTAAGAGTTTTTTAAATTTTGGTACTGAGAGAGGCAGGCCCAACTCCTTCTCCACTGGAGGCCATGCTTTAAGCCCTAGTTCTAGTTCTTGGTGATTTCAATTCCATGTTTGTCTTCCTATTATTCCTCAATGATATTTCATTAAGGGGACTCTGTAATAAGTCCTAAATCCCTTTACTGAAGATAATTCATAGCCCAATAACTTGTTCTGCCCATCCACCCCAGCCTTGGGACATGTTTAGTCCAGTTAAAATTTGTGTGTCCTATGTTGAGGGTACCAAGCACTCACAAAGTAATCCACTTCTTACCTCCAAGAACTTAATTTGAAAGAGGAGAGACGAAAAGAGATGATTTCAATTCAATGTGTTTACTGTTTTAATAGAAAGCTCTGCATAGTGTGCTTAAATTCTATGCAAGTGGTTTTTAATTTTTTTTAATGCAGTCCCTCCTTCTTTCTCCCACCTTCCCCTGGTATTTTACCTGTGGGGCAAGGGAGGCAAGGATCTTCATGTGTTAACCTGACCCTCATAAGACTCAGTATTCCAAAATACTGTGCTGTCTCCTCTGAAGCCCCAGAAGCACACGGGTGCCTGGTTAGACCTTCCTTTTAGAAAGGTTGCTCTGCTGTGTAAACCAGTACTCATGAAAAATGTTCTGGGCAGACCCAGTAATTGATCAGCTGTCTCAAATCTTTTTTTAAACAAGTAGTTGGGAGTAGGGGAGTGGTGGTAAGAAAATGAATAGACTGGGGCATGAGGAGGATAATCCTAGGACCATCTGCTAAATATCTGTTCCCAAAGAGTATGGCATTTCACACACATAAATTCTGAAAGCTTTGTTTTATAGTCCCTCTCTCTGTTTTCCTCCCTTACCTGTGGGTGTCTTTCTCCTAGCATTTCTTCAGAAATCTGCAAAGCTTTTTCATACATCCTTTGTGCCTGTGATGGCTGCTTGGAGAACAGAAGGTAGTGAGCATAGGCGTCTAAGCACATGCCAAGGAGGAGGTGGGTATTGGCTTTCTCTTTCACTGAGAAGGAAATAAGAGCATTGCTGGGATATAACAAGTACAGTATCGAAAATAAGACAGAGAATTGGCCAACCTACCCTACCTAATCATTTTTCTTGTTACAAAGACCCACAAATATTTTAACACTACAGGTCCCACTGAATGTTTCATGTTACTTAAGAAGTGCTCCTAACCTTACTTTACACTTTGTTACACAAAGGTGACAATTTAGGTGGATTAACATCTAATTGGTTCCTGGACCCAATTCCAACGTGTGTGTGGAGGCTTCCCCACACCAACAAGCAATTCTTGGACACCAGCTGGGTCCAAGAATTCAACTAAATTCTGACATTATCTACCTGGAGATAGCATCAGATTCCACAGGTTAAGGGTTCAGTCCTACAAGACTGCACTCCGCCACCCGGGCCTCCCCACCAGACATCAGTCACGAGCTCAGGTTGTTACCTGTGCTTCTGACCAACTGGGTACAGACTGGAGGTCCCCACAACCTCCTCCTTGGACTTCAGATGCCAGTCACAAGTCCAGGTTACTTCTGACTGACTGGCTATAAATCAGAGGTTTCCAAGACTCCCTCCTTGGGTTTGATTAATTTGCTACAGCGGCTCACAGAACTCAGAGAAACACTTTACTTACTAGATTAGCGGTTTATTATAAAAGCATATAACTCAGGAACAGCCAAATGGAAGAGATGCAGAGAACAAGGTATGTGGGAAGGGGCGCAGAGCTTCCATGTCCTCTCCAGGTGCACCACTATCCCTCCACATGTTCACCAACCCAGAAGCCTTCTGAACCCTGTTCTTTTGGGTTTTTATGGGGACTTCATTACATAGGCACGACTGATTAAAACTGATTAAATCACTGGCCCTTGGTAATTGATTCAACCTCCAGCCCCTCTCCTCCCCAGAGGTCAGGCGGTGGGGCTGAAAGTTCTAACTTTTTGATCACGTGGTTGCCTCCACTGGTGACCAGCCCCCATCCTTGGGTACTTTCCAATTCACCTCATTAACATAACAAAAGACATCTTTATCACTCTCAACATTTAGGAAATTCTGAGGGTTTGGGAGCTGTAAGCCAAGAACTGTGGACGAAGACCAAATATATATGAAAAATTATATTTGGTCATCTGAATGACCAAATATATATTTCTTATAATATCGCAATATCCAATGAAATGACGAACTTTTCCCCACATTTTAAGTAAGATTGAGTCCACACATCAATGAAAATGTGCAATATTTTTAGTTTGAAACTAATAATATTTAACAGAAACAGGTTAATATTTAACAGGTGAAGATAAACTCAAAAAAGAATAAGTTAACAACAACAAAGTAAGTCTAGGACCAATGAAAAAGCTTTAAGGTGGAAAAAACAATGCAGTAAAAAACCAAAGAACACAGAGAATCCTAAAATGGAAAGTTACAAGCCAAATTTAAAGAACAGTTAATTCACTTTCTGAAGAAGAATAATAAAGACTCAATGATACAGCACCTGTCAACATGTTACAGAATTGACTACACAAATCTAGAGAACAGTAACCAATAGCAACTTGCACAAGTAAAGACTTGGAGAGCCAATACAAATAATGTAGAAATGATAATCAGCTAGATTACAATTGTGAAAATTCTGCCAACAGCTCAGCTGAAAGTAAATGTTTACTTAAAGGACTTAAAAAAGAGGTTACCTCAGATAATTTTAAGTAACAAAACTATTAGACACCAACTGAAAATGTTCTGTTGGATTTATTTACCAGCAAAGCTATCATTCATATCAGTTTTCCTTCTGTATCATCAAAGTTTCAGAGAACTTATAAATCGCATACAGAATTTAAAGAAGACTATATTACCAAATAATAGTATGACCAATTATTGAAGAGAGAGTTTAAATAGAACAATGTGGTTGTGGTAGATGAAAATAACTGTTGGAATAATATCAGAGGGTAGGGCCGCCCCTGTGGCTTAGCGGTTAAGTGTGCGCGCTCCGCTACTGGCGGCCCGGGTTTGGATCCCAGGCGCGCACCGACGCATCGCTTCTCCGGCCATGCTGAGGCCGCGTCCCACATACAGCAACTAGAAGGATGTGCAACTATGACGTACAACTATCTACTGGGGCTTTGGGGGAAAAAACAAAGGAGGAGGATTGGCAATAGATGTTAGGTCAGAGCCGGTTTTCCTCAGCAAAAAGAGGAGGATTAGCATGGATGTTAGCTCAGGGCTGATCTTCCTCACCAAAAGAAAAAAAAAAAAATCTATAATATGAGAGGGTAAAAGTGAAAAACATGAAACTTTTCTTCACGTAGAAATCCAAAGTTATTTACTTTGGCTTAGTTATATATAAAAGGTAAATGATAATCATCTTAAAATCAAATTAGGAATAGTTTTAAACAGACTACCTTACAAATTTATTTTCAAAAAATATCAACAAGGGGCCGGCACCATGGCCTAGTGGTTAAGTTCAGCACACTCCACTTCAGTGGCCCAGGTTTGGTTCCCGGGGGCAGACCTACACCACTTGTCAGCAGCCATGCTGTGGCAGTGACCTACATACAAAATAGAGGAAGACTGGCACAGATATCAGCTTAGAGTGAATCTTCCTCAGCACAAAAAAAAAAGAGGAAATTATTTTTATAACTATAAAAAGTATATACAAATATTTATGAATAAATATGACGAATATAAAAAGCAGAACATAAGATGGCACCAACTAAACACCACATGTAAATGTACCATATTTCTCTATTAAAAGGAAATATTGAAACAAAAAATATTTAACTATGAGCACTCTTTTTGAAAGGCTAAGCAAAAACTTATGAAAATCAAGCAGCAGTTTAATATTAATAGTATTGTGAGATAATATAATGAAGAAACACATAAGTTAAAAATGAGAAGAATGAGACAAATCTCTATGCTCCCTTCAAGTACAAACAAAAGTCCAAGAAGATAAGTAATTTGTAACAGTGAGAAGATTTAGAATACCATACAGATGCTAAAACTCATGTTCTTTGAGAACATTTAAAAACAAAAATGTTTACCATATACCAAAAACATCACAAAACATAATGTATAATTATTCCAATTCTGGAAACTGTATATGCTTAAAAAAATGACTGCTGAATCCTATTTCTGGGATTTTTATTAATTCTCTTTAAGTATTTCTATATTTTAAAAAAATATGCTCTTTTTACATTTTTCAGTTAGAAAAAATGTTCAGTACTATAACTCAAAAGTACAAGAATAAAGTAACAAGTAATCCTAGTAGAAAATTATTACCCCTGATATCAGAAATGGAAATTAACTAGAATAGAAGAGAGTAAAAAACTTTTTAGAAAGAATAATTAATGAGGTAAAATTTCAGCTGTAATATTTTTTCACTGTTAAGAAGAAAATGTTTTAAATTCATAGCACATTCTGACCATAATAACATGAAAAACAGAAATTTTTTTAAAAAATATACTTCTCTAAAAATAGGACCAAAGGAAAAATAAAAAGGCTCCATAATAAAACCTTTAGCATATTGTCAAGTTAAGAGAGAATTTCATAGCTTTAATAAACTACCAAAAAAGAATTCCTTTTCTAGGTAATAACATTTAAAACATGGTTCCTTGAAATATTAATATAAAAACTGCTAGAAATTAGACAAGAACAAACCAGATAGCCTAATAACAGCTGAGAAATAAATTGGGATTGTTCATACAGAGCTTCCCCCACAGGATTATTTCAATAGAGGTGGGGGAGCATATTTATTTCTTCAAACTTTAATTATAAATAATTCTCTTCCAAAAATTATTTCTAATCAGATAAAAAGATGAGCTACCTAAAATCAGTCCATGAAACAAACAAGATTTATTACAGAAATTTTTACTTAAAATACTAGCAAATGGAATTCTCAAATGCACTAAGGAGATGACTAAGCAGCATTTATTCCAGGAATACAAGAATGGCTCAGTGTACTCCATGTATCAGTATATCAAATTAGGCTTGCATAAATGCAGACTAAAAAGGAATTTGATAAGGTACTGGAACAATTATATGCATTTATAAAAACAGGAATAGGGATGCTCCATTAATAAGAAAAAGAGCATCTCTAATTTAGGAACACTTGAGCACAGGCATCCAGCCCCCCCCCACCAACAATCATAATCTAGGAAAGTCTATGGTAGTAGTAGAAGGAGTAAAACAGAATGAACTAAGGCTTTTGGTTCCAGTAATGTCACTGATAATCTGAAAACCCTTATGCTTCAAATGTCAGATAAATTATAACAAACATCCTTTTATATGCATAGCTGAGCTCCCAAGAGAAGGAAATCCCAAGGGCCAGAAATTAGGAGTAAGCTAAAATGCGAAGTGGAAAGCACGTGAGTTGATACAGCAAAAGCCCAGTTTTTGTTGGTTTTGTGTGGTGGCCTGAGTGTCTCTGTAATCTAGAATTGAGTTCTTCAACTTGTGCAAAACAGAGAACTAGATCTGAAGCCCCTTGCATAAAACCAAGATGATCGTCATAGGCTACATATGTCCCTTCCCCCAAGCCCCCTTCCGGCTACAGGGACCACAAGGAAGCTTGAATGGCCAAGCCTGGAATCTAGATGGGAAAAATGACTACCATGGAAATTTGTAATCACAGGCCTGTGCTACATGCAGTTCGATGTCTAAATTTATACCATCCATTTAGGCTTGGACCTGAGTGCCTGGAAGAAACAAAAAAAACCATTCTGGAGTCTCATTTTACAGCTGAAACCCTGCTGAAGAGGAATTTATAATCCAAAATTAGTAAGCATGAAAATTCATCATGAGAATCAGCAGACAATAAAAAAGGAAGCCTCATCGTCAAGAATTTTAGATAAGTGAATAATCACAGAGTATAAACTAAGTTTAAAATAATTACTTGTATATCAAGTATGCTCCGCCTCAAAGCCCTGCATTTGTTCCTCCTTTGCCTGATTTTCCTCCCTCAGAGATTGGAACTTGGCTTATTACCCCCCTATTCATCAGGTTTCTTACCAATTA